GCAGGATTCTGACCTCATCACAATGAAGAGATGCTGATTTATTTCCAAGTCCAGGATGGTGTGTGACTTGAAGGTGAACTTGCTGGTGATGGTGATCCTATATGCCCCCTGTTCTTATTCGAAGTCACAGGTGTAAAATATGCTGTCGAAGGAGCCTTGGCAAGTTTGGGCAAAAGATAGGGTGGCTTGTACTGGAGGCTACCAAGACCAAACTCCTACATAACATGCATCAGGTGATGTTATCATACATAGAGTATTGACGTTCTGTTCAGGGATTGCTTGTTTGTCACCCTGGGGTGACAACAGCGGGGAAGGAGTTGGGCCAAAAGAAGTATCAAGACAAATTTCACTTTTTCCTTCTTATCATTTCAAGGTTGCTGCAGCTGGGTGAGGGAACGAGCACAAGCCCCTGTGGGCTTGTATGTATGTGGAGTATGTGGAGTCTATGTGCAAATTTCAGACGTTTAATCAACCTGACACTGTATAATGGCCAGAAAACAGACTTGTCATGTATAACACTGGGTCTTTGATCACCTGAGCAAAGATGTCGATTTATAATAATAGACTTATAATAGAGAAACAGGCAGACCGTTTTAGGGAGAGGCTCCCAGAAATTAGGGCCTGGGCAGCTGATTGCATGGTTAAGAAGGTGCAGCAATTTAAAAAAGAAAGTGATGTAGAAGAGGCCAGATTGTAGAAGTGCAGAGATCATAAAGGTTTGCAGGATCAGAGAAGGTTAAATGGCAATGTAGGTCAGTGGGAGCAGTGGTGATGGATAAAAAAAAAAAATTTTGTGTGAGTTAGGATAGGGGCATTAGAATTTTTGGATTGGTACAAGTTTATGTAGAATGGAAGGTGTGAGGCCAAGCAAGAAAACAGCAGGGGTGAGGGATAGTAGGAACTGCAGATGCTGGAGAATCCGAGACAACAAGGTGCAGGGCTGGATGAACACAGCAGGCCAAGCAGCATCATAGGAGCAGAGAGGCTGACGTTTCGGGCCGAGACCCTTCATCAGAAAAGGGGGAGGGGAAGGGGGTTCTGAAATAAATAGGGAGAGACTGGGAGGCGGATAGAACAGGGATAGAGGAGAGGATAGGTGGAGAGGAAACAAACAGGTCGAAGAGGCGGGGATGGAGCCAGTAAAGGTGAGTGTAGGTAGGGAGTTAGGAAGGGGATAGGTCAGTCCAGGGAGGACTGACAGGTCAAGGGGGCGGGATGAGGTTGGTTGGTAGGAGATGGAGGTGCGGCTTGAGGTGGGAGGAGGGGATAGGTGGGAGGAAGAACAGGTTAGGGAGGCAGGGACAAGCTGGACTGGTTTTGGGATGCGGTAGGGGGAGGGGAGATTTTGAAACTTGTGAAATCCACATTGATACCATTGGGCTGCAGGGTTCCCAAGCGGAATATGAGTTGCTGTTCCTGCAACCTTCGGGCGGCATCGCTGTGGCACTGCAGGAGGCCCAGGATGGACATGTCGTCTGAGGAATGGGAGGGGGAGTTGAAATGGTCCGCGACTGGGAGGTGCAGTTGTTTATTGCGAACTGAGCGTAGGTGTTCTGCAAAGCGGTCCCCGAGTCTCCGCTTGGTTTCCCCGATGTAGAGGAAGCCACACCGGGTAGAGCGGATGCAGTATACCACATTGGCAGACGTGCAGGTGAACATCTGCTTGATGTGGAAAGTCTTCTTGGGGCCTGGGATGGGGGTGAGGGAGGAGGTATGGGGGCAGGTGTAACACTTCCTGCGGTTGCAGGGAAAAGTGCCGGGTGTGGTGGAGCTGGAGGGGAGTGTGGAGCGGACAAGGGAGTCACGGAGAGAGTTGTCCCTCCGGAAAGCAGATAAGGGTGGGGAGGGAAAGATGTCTTTGGTGGTGGGGTCGGATTGCAGATGGCGGAAGTGTCGGAGGATGATGCGTTGGATCCGGAGGTTGGTGGGGTGGTACGTGAGGACGAGGGGGATTCTTTTTTGGTTCTTATTGCGTGGACGGGGTGTGAGGGATGAGGTGCGGGAGATGTGGGAGACACGGTTGAGGGCGTTCTCGACCACCGAGGAGGGGAAGTGCTTGACCTCATTACAATCACTTCAGGAGAGAAATCATGTCAGTTCCAGCAACAGGGTGGGATCAGATGTCTGGAATAGGAGGGAGTTGGTCCTGTCCAGTGGCTGGGCAGGGCCTGTTGGTTCATGGTATGGGAAATATAAGGTGTCTAGGGGAGGTGTAATGGGAGTGTTTGAGGTAAATATGGGGCCAGTTTAATAATTTCTCAGGAGTCAGACCATGTAGTTCATAACCTATTTTTCCCTGAGTAACTATTTTACTTAAGTTCGTCGGAACTCTTTGATGTCTCTGATATAAATGGAGACTTTCAGAGGGCTGCAGGCATGGAGGAATTGTCCAGGAGCATATCCAATTTCCTGTGCACTTCCTTTGGAATCTGCTATGTTGTGGATTCCACAGCGTCCCCATGAGCAACACCTATCTGGAATAACAACTCGCTGGGCATAAGAAAATCCTGGCTAATTACATTTCCACAGGCAGTCACAAGGTGGCAGAGTAAACTGATTCAGCTACTATTTCCTCAAAGACAGGGAAAAAAAAACTGTCCTGTAAAATGGGCAGAAATGTGGAGACTCTGGCGCACCAAATGGTAAAAACCTTACATCTGTTAAAACAGATGCAATGAGACTTAATTTTAGGAGCCGATATCATGCATCCAAAATCATTTAAAATGTTTTGGCCCAAAATGTGATCAGGGTTAGGATTAAGGTTAAATTTCACCACTTCCAGCTTACATGCATCCCAGTCACTCACAAATATATTAATGAAACATTTTGTAAACTCTGTTTTTGGGAACCTTCAGTGGAAATCGGTCTGGTTTGACTGAATTGAGGACAAGCTCGCTTCTGCTGAGGGTTTCTAGATGTGGACATGGTCTAGCCAGCATCCAGCACTGAATTCGGTGTTTAATTTAATTTTGAATTGATGTAGAACAAAGAGGAGGGGGAGGAAGACTACATTGCAGTACTTGGAATTTGCAAACCCTTCCATTAACTGCTGCCTATCACCTCTACAGTGCAGAAAGAGGCTATTTGGCCCATCAAGCCTGCACTGACCCTTCAAAGAGTTCCTCATCCAGACCCATCCCTCCATCCTATCCCCGTAACCCTGCATTTCTCATGGCCGATCAACCTAACCTGCACGTCTTTGGACTGTGGGAGGAAACTAGAGCACCTGGCAAAAACACAGACAGACACAGCGAGAATGTACAATCTCCACACAGATAGTCACCCAAGGCTGGAATCAAACGCAGGTACCTGGTGCTGTGAGGCAGCATTGCTAACCACTGAGTTACCGTATCATTGGAGAGTGATGTGCAGGTCAGTTCACTCACTGCTCCTTCAGTCAGGTGAGTTGCCTTAGAGTACAGGCGCCTTGCTTTGTTAATTTAGATGCAGTGTCCAGACCAATTTCTTGTGATCTTTGAGCATCTGTCTCATGCAGGCACAGGGATTCTTTCTTGCATACATTTAGCAACTATTTTCCAGACCATCACATTTCCAGCACTGTGCATCAAATTTTTCAAGGGGAATCTTCAGCACATTATTATTCCAGGGATATGCAGGTTAGGTGGATTGGCCATGGGAAATGCAGAGTGACAGGGAGAGGGTAGGGGAGTGGAATATTCCGGGTGGAATATTCTTTGGTGTGGACTTGTTGGGCTGAGTGGCCTGTTTCCACACTGTAGGGATTCTACAGATTACTTCCCTTTTATTAAAATGGTTATTTGATAGCACAAATCCCACATCCCCCTCTTGTCCAGTTTGTTTTTGAGAGTGATATATACCACACCTAAAGGGCAGGATTTTTCCCTGGGCAAAAGTTTGGGACACTGACATGGGGCTAAGTTGGGGTCTCGAACCTGCACAATCCTGGAGCCAGATCAGTGGAGTTATTTTTCTTTCACACTCACTATCCTGTTAAAAATGGTGGGAGAAATGGCCATGCCACTCACTCAATCCCAGGGCTGGAACATCCAGCAGCACGGCCCATGCAACTCACGCAATCCCAGGGCTGGAACATCCAGCAGCACAGTGGCTCTCAGAACGTGAAGGCTCCTCAAACCAGAAGTGCCCTCAAAGGCATAAACTTCAAGTAAAAGAGTCAAGCAGGCCGGAGCAGAGAGAAAAATCCTCAGTCAGCAGGGTTAGGACTCTTCCTCATTGCATCCCTCTGGGTGATGGATCCTCTGAATCTGATACCACCACATCCCCCAGCCCCCACCCCCTCTAAACATGGCTGTCAGAGACGGGAAGCCTCCATCGAGCTGGTAGCATCCCATGAAGTGGGTGTCACTCAGTTACTCCTATTTGCAAAATCCCTCTTGTTGATGGTCTTAAATTTGTAAATTGGCAGTATGGCAGTGAGTATCTGAATACTGGTCCATTTCCCCTGGAAAGACCTTCAGGCAGTGGGAATGCATTGGAAGCAGCCTTAACACAGATTGGCTTCCACCCCCTCCTCCAAGGCAGCCACCATGGGACAAGAACACTCAGCTAATTCACATAAACTGAAATTCCCTTCTCTGGTGTCAACAAGTACAATATTCCTTTATGCACTTTCATTCTGTCGGCTTATGTTTAAATTCACTTCTATTATGGGGTCTTTGTGACCTTGATATTCCCGCCTCTGTTTCAATAAGATCATAATAGTTTGGTTAATTTTCCAGTTGCAGCATCAGAAAAAGTTGAGAGGTAATAAATGGATGGCGAGAGCTTGAGTAAACAATGAGCTGAGACAGCAACAGAGATGTGAGATTCACAGAGATAGAAGTCATCAGTCTTCAGGTTGGAGAAGATACAGGATCGAAACTCCATACAGGGTCAACTAGGACTGGGACATTGCAAACTGTCTGGCTCCATCTCAGACAGTGATTAGCAAGAGGGATGTGGTTGGTGGCCAGAAAATGGGGTGTGGGATGGGGTCCAAAGACAGTAAGTGATAAAATCTATGGGAGAGTGGAAGCAAAACAGACTGCAAGCACAAAAAGGAAAGAAAAAATTGTGTTTATACATCATCTTTGTAATTTCAGGACTTCCACAAAGCACTTTACTGGCCACTAACTACTTTTGAAATGTATTTTGTGTAGTAATCTAGGATACAGAGGATTCAATTTGTGCACAATACAGTTCCACACGCAGTGATGTGATAATGACCAGGTAACCTATTCTAATGGTATTGATTGAGGGATTGGGAACTCCCATGCTTTTCTTCAAAAGAACATCATGAGATGTATGAGTTGAATCCCAGCAGTATGGAAGCAGGCCATTTAGCCTATCAAGTCCACACAACCCTCCAAAGAGCATTCTATCTAGATCCACCCCCTACCCTATCCCAGTAACCTTGCATTTCCCATGGCTAATCTACCCAGCCTGCACACCCCTGGACAATATGGGCAATATAGCATAGCCAATCCACTTAGCCTACACATCTTTGGACTGTGGGAGGAAAGCAGAACAACCAGAGGAACCCACACAGTCATAGGGGAGAATGTGCAAACTCCACACAGTCACCTGAAGGTGGAAGCAAACCTGGGTCCCTGGTGCTGTGAAGCAGTGGTGCTAATCACTGAGCTGCCCAGTGTAGAAGGAAGATGGAACATCTCATTTTCTAGACAACACTTCTGATTCCTTCAGAACTGAACAGGTGAGAAAGCCTAGATTGTATGCTTTAACTGCATTGGCTATGATCTTAACCCACAACTTCCTGATTCAGAGGAAAGAGTGCTACTTTTGAGTCATCACTGACAGAATATATTAAACTATGCACATGTTGATTGCCACATTATTAAGAATTAAAAATGTTAAGAGTAAGAAAATGCGAATATCACGATAAATAATAGAAAGATAAAACTTGTTCTTTTAGTTCAGACACACCTTCACATCCTTCAGGATTAACAGCACTTAGTCCGAAGTAGCCAGATTTGCACTGGTCACATCTGGTCCCTTCAACATTTCTCTTACAAATGCAGCGTCCAGCAACTGTTCCAAGGCTTGGGTCAGTGTGACTTTCACACGTTCCATTGTTTAGTGAGCCTTTGGGATCACAGTTACAGGCTATGAATCATAGAACAGGAAATAGGTTACATGTGATGCATTTTCTAGCTCATTAAGCAAGACTTCTTTCTGGCATTATTTCAGGCTAATCTTTGAAGTAACCCAATATTGCCAATGAGGACCTAATCACTTTTTTTTTAATGATAATGACAAGTTTTGGAAAGCAAACTGAGGTGATCCATAATATTTCATCTTCAGAAGCCATGTTATGGTTGTACATGTGATGAATATTGAATCATTTTCCAGCATCTTTCATGGCTTAAAATTAGAGAATACATCAATTAGAAATCAAGACAGCCTCTTCTAAAAGTCCAGGTTGTTAGTTATATAGTTAAAAATGTGTAAGTTTGGAGATGTTAAATAATATAATTAGACTTTGTGGGTTCAAATGCATAATCTTTGGAAAAGGAAGTTGTCAGCTTCCACAAAATCTTTAAGATGTTGGTTTAGGCAATTTCTCAATTAAGTTAGTTAGAAGAACTCCAAGTTATATTTTTAAGCAAGTAACTTTTCAGGTTATTAAACTAATCAAATTGATGTTTATCCTGAAATTGCCTGGCAAATTCATATCCTTTTCAATTGTTCCGGTAGGATAATATTTATAATTTATTAAAGCTTAATTTTAGGTTCATTACATTATTAAGGATTGTTTTGGTCAAGATCAATTTACAAGCCCTTGATGTCAAAACTTAAAACAGACCAACATTAACGTCAACACTGTTTTCTTCCTATTGGAAAAGATAGAGGCATGGGACTTGCATCCTGAGAAAACACTATGCAATGTTATCATTTCTTAACATGGTTATTTTAAATCTTTTTTTATTGCATTAAACACTATATTTTTGCACCTGATTTTGTGTTTTCAGATGCTGAATTATATTTGTAGCATCACTGTTTCTAAAATAACTTTTGCAGAAGTAAAGGCATTTGATTTCACATGGTCTGGAGAGACTGAGCTGTGTAAACTTCCCACGTTACTACTTTATATGTCTACTTTTAAAAATGCTTTTTACAGACTTTTGCTTAGCTAATATCTAGATTTGAAGAAAAGATTGCTCCATGATTACACAAGCTGCTGAAACAGCTTTTTTGTAAAAACTTCAATCTCTTCACAATAAATAGAAGAATTTAAAAACAAACATTGTTGCTGTTTTTACATTTTGCACAATTAATTTGTGTAGTGGTCATTTTGGCTTTGACCATTAGTTCTTACAATGCTTTAATTATGGTAAGAATTAATCCGAAACTGTGATGGAAAGTAAGAAAGAATTCCTACCAACACATGCATATGGGTCAGAAATAATTTTCCCAGGAACCTGGTAGAAGAAGGGCTTGCATTGGTTACAGTTTTGACTCATTGTATTGTGTTGGCACTCATCACAAATCCCACCACTGACTTCTCCACTGGCCAAATATACCGCCATGTCAAAATGGCATTTTTCAGAGTGTCCATTGCAGTTGCACCCTGAAAAAGAATAAGTATATGTTAAGTCCTAAGGAAAAGGACAAATTGAAAACTGATGCAAGAACAGTTAAAGGTGATCTTCAGTGTTTGGAAGCCATGTTAAAACACACATTTGATTCAAAACTTTTAAGCAAAATACAAAACAAAGCGGTTTAAATTTGCCAGAGCATGAATTCCCCTGTACTACTTTGAAGAGTGCTCTGAGATCTTGTGCACGCACCTACAAGATTTGACATGTCAGCTCTCATAAGTTATGGTACTTTAAAATTCTTTTAAATTTAAACTTGTGTTTAATTTCAAGAACACTAAAGTTACATTTTTAAAACTTGCTAATCTAAAAAAATTAAAGAATTGACTACACTAATGAAGGTAATAAATTGTTCTAAATAATGTTGTTAAAAATAATTTTCAGTTAGTGAAAATCAAGTTGCTTACAAATGGCATACTAAGCACTGATTAACTACCTCTTTCTTATATGTTGTGATAGATCCAATTTCAGCCAAATGGATAAAGTTCTTCTGTAAAGTAAATTAGTGAAATATTCATGCTTAGCTACATCAAGCAATATTTTTAATGGAAAATTTTCAAAAAATACACATTCTAAAACATTGCTGAATTGTATTGATTCATGGAAGATATGTTTGGTGATATGCAAAACATTTCAAGTGAAAACCTGAACAAAAAGATCCCACAAACCCACTCCTTAAAACATACACAGTCTTCACCTGATCACTGATGGCATCCAAAGTGAAAACTCTAGATCTGCTTATTTTTCTGACAGAATATTTCATAACAGTTACTGTGGAAGCTTTCATTTTTCAGAATCCAATTCCATTTTCAATCCTGTGTTTTAGGGACTTATAAGGCAGGTTAAACAGACTATCAATAAGTACAACAGTCCTTACTTCTGCATTCATCTCTCTCTGATCCTATCGCTGGTTGCCATGGTGAATCATTGTAAAAGTCCTTACATCTTTCACAGTTTACACCATCTGTATTGTGCTGACAGATGCACCGTCCATGAACCTATGGAAAATTTATATTTGAAACAGATTTGAATAATTATTTCCAGCAATATACAGCTACAAGTTTTAACTCTTTTATTTGTGAAATTGAAGTTCAATTTTAACATCAATGTCCAGAAGAAATGAAGTAATGCCTTCTCCAGCACATTCAGTTTTGAATTTGCTTTTACAATTCTTCTGTATCCTTGGCCTGTTCTTCTCAGTGCCTCATTCTATGCTGTGCTCCAGCATAGTTCCTCCTTCCATACTCTGCCAACAGGAGAAATCCTGCAACTGTCTTGTATTTGTTAACTTTTCTGAACATTTCCCTCCAATGCATTTTTTTTACCCCATGAAGCACTTTACGACATTTTCTACATTAAAAACATTATACAACTGCAAGCTATCATTTAACCTGTGATATTTGGAACTTCTGATTGTTCACAATTTTTGTTGGAGATTTGTTAAGCTTCAGGCCCAATGTGATTAACTTCTACCATAATGTTCTATTGAAGGAACACTCTAGCACACCGGTACACAATATGTATTCACAAGATACAAGGTACTCAATAGGTGTTCCAGCACATATGTGTTCTGTTATGATTTTTATTATTTGTAATGCTTTATAATTTGTAAATAATTGACTTTTGTCAGCTAGAGGATCATATCCAAATCTGGGCATCACAGTTTATAAAGGCTTTGGAGGGTGCACTGAAGAAACATGGGGGATGATGGAATTTAGCTATGCAGGGAGGAACTACGATTGTTCTTTACAGCAAAAAGCATTAAGGGAAGATTTCATTGAGGTGTTCAGAATTCTTCGAGGTTTTGATAGATCAGACAGGGAGGAAACAATATTCACCAGCAGAAGGGCTGGTAGTCAAGGTAATAATTAAGATAATTCACAGAAATATCTAGCAGGCAAATGAGGAAAATAGTTTTTACATAGCAAAAATTGTTACAAACTGGAATGTACTGCTTGAAAGGGTGTGGCACACATTCAGTGGCAATTTTCAAAGGAAAATGGATATATATCTGACAAGAAAGATTTACAGGGCCAGAAGGAAACAATAGATTGAGACTACATTAGATAGCTGTTTTAAAGAGCCAGTACTGTTGCAATGATGAAAACGACCTCTATCGATGCAGTGTTATTTTCATGTAGTCCACCCTTTGGGCCTATTACCCGGACCCTGTTCAGTGCTCCATGCTTTGTTACTCCGAGTGCAGGCAGATGCCAGGAAGGTGGCTCTGCTGGGAAGAGCATCTGCCTGTGTCATGAAAAATCCATCAAAGTCAGCAGTAGAGGTCCCCAGTGGCACATTTTCATCTTTGTGTTCACTGTCCATATTTAATTCTCTGAAAATAATTCCATATGCGTGCCTGTGAAATTTATTGTGGGGTACCCGAATTTTGGTGACGTTCTTACCATTCCTTGCTGGTTGAATACATCACCTCGTATATTTTCAATGGGAATACACTGGCTGGCGTGCCCATAGCAAAAACAGCTCCCGCGAACAACCATTTCGTACAAAGCATAATAGTATTTTTCATCGACTCTGGCCTGTCTCCTCCACAAACGTGTATCTCCAAGTGTGTGTAGCTGTGTGAAGTTTATCCGTAGATTTGTAAAAGTTGTAAGCTCTGTGGAAGATACAGGAGAAAGGCTTGACACTGGTCATGGAGTTATAGTTTGTTGTACAAATTATCCAGTTGTTTTTCCATTGGCTTCAGTGGAAAGGAAAACCATGGGGAATTTTTAAAATGTGTGCCCAATTCACTATTGCCTATTTTGTGCTAAAATCAATTTTACATCCCGTGTGCAACTTGTCCTGGTAAGTGAATCATTTAGCATTAACTACACATGCCACGAAATCTATGAAGTACAAATGAAACACAATCAATCGATTCCACAATTGAGCCTTTGGAAACTCTTTTAACAATAAATTTGTGTCCCCTTTTGCTTACAAACGGATAGGATGGAATAGCATTGACCATATTGCTAATAGTGAAGAGATAGCATGGATTGTTTGACCATTAAGAACAATTAAACTTAAGGAAGAAACAGTATATTCAGTTAAAAACTATTTGTGGCTTGTGAATTAAACTCATGGTGTAGGGTGTAGCATATTGACAGGGATAGGAGATTGAATGGTTAACAGGAAGCTGAGTATAGGTGTAAATGGGTGGTGCACTTCAGAGATCAGTGCTGGGACCTTAACTGTTCACAGTTTATATAAATCACTTAGATGAAGGGATGGAAGGTATGGTTGCTAAATTTGCTGATGGTGTAAGGATAGGTAGGAAAGTGAGTTGTGAAGACGACACAAGGAGGTTACAAAATACTGAAAGGGATAGATTGGGTAAGAAAATGTGCCCTGGTTGGGGAGTTAAGAAACAGGGGCACAATTTAAAAGTAAGGGAGATATTTTATTTACTCAGAGAGTTATGAACTGAATGGGCTGAATTTAAGAACTGCAGATGCTGGAGTCAGAGATAACACAGTTTGGAGCTGGAGGAACACAGCAGGCCAGGCAGCATCAGAGGAGCAGGAAAGTTGACGTTTCAGGTTGGGACCCTTCTTCAGAGAATGAATGGCTGAATGGCCTTCTCCTGTTCCTAGATTCTTACCTTTGAATGCAGAGATTCCAGCCCTTTTTGTGTGTTACTTTATAGCCATGACAATGGAATAGTTTCAAATTAGGGTATAACTAGACCTGTCCTGGCCCTTGAGATTCCATGTGACTCTGAGCTGATCATGTTGCATCATGTTGCAAACATGATCAGTAAACAGTAAGAAGGCAAGAACTCTCAACTGCAGGAGTACCTATATCTCTGATCACTCCAACAATTGGAAACATGCAACTGGTGAGAACATGTGTAACCAGTGGTAGGAGGACAAACTGACAGTGCATCTCGGTAAAGGATCACAATGTGGACCCCCAAAGGTTTTAGGCAATAAATCGACCTGACAAAGTTTGATTGAATTGATTTATTATTATTGTCACATGTGCCGAGGTACAGTGAGAAGTTTTGTTTTGCGAGCTGTACGGGAAGATCATATTATACAAAGTGCATAAGGGTAATAGAACAGAGTGAGGAATACAATGTTACAGCTGCTGAGAAGGTGCGCAAAGAGTAAGATCAACATTAATTTTAAAATTTGAGAGGTCCATTCAGAAGTCTAATAATGGTGGGGAAGAAGCTGTTCTTGAATCTGTTGGTACGTATGTTTTGCCTGATGGAAGAGGTTGGAGGAGATTATAACTGGGATGGTAAGGGTCTTTGTTTATGTTGGCTGCCTTCCTAAGACAGCAAAAAGTGTAGATGGAGTCAATGGATGGAAGATTGGCTTGCGTGTTCATGACTCTCTGTAGTTTCTTATCAATTTATTAAATGAATAAATAAAATTTATAACTCACCCCCACACCTTTGTAAAAGGAACTGAAGGAAGGGCCCTGTTACCTCTCTCTCAAATCTTGCAGAGTACAACACTATTTGTTGCTTGTGAAAGCAAGCAGGATCCAAGATGCGACCCTAGCTGTGAGGGTATTCAAGATACAGATACAGGTACATATTAGGGAACTTCCTCATAACCTGAAAAACTAGAGGTTACCAGTGAAGTTCCTTGGTGAAATATTCGCTCAGATATGTTGGAGTACATGCCAATGCAAATTTCCATCTCTTCATCCACCAGTTACACCTACAGGTTTTCTGTTTGCTCCATGAGGGCGGGGAACAGAATATGGGTCTGTGTTTTGGGTTAAAGATCCATCTCTGATTAATGTTCAGATTTTTACATGGTTAGCCCTGAATTGATCTGGAGATTTTCTGTCCAATGGGGATGGGAATGTACCAGATGAAGTTTCAGATTTATTTAGACCACCCCATGGCAGAAAACACTGAGGCTGTTGGTTGTCCTGAGGGAGAGCTCTGTAATTTGTGCCAAAGCTTTCCACTCCACCAGAGGAAAGTTGGATGCCACAGCAGAATTGAGCCTGGTACCGATGGTAAGACACACTCTCATTGATACCAAAATAGATCTTATATTGGATGCCACAACATAGAGGTAGGTGGTCCTTTTCCCGGAAGGTGGCATGACGAGGCAGTTGTATAAGATCCTTGGTTCTGAAAGGGTTAACGTTGAGGAGTGCATTAAGTTCCACCCCAACATTGACACCATGAGGGGTAACGGGACCAGCTTAGGATTACAATGGTGATAGACCTATCGTCTAATCTCCTCATAATCTTAGTAACAGTGTCTATCATCACAATGTTGTTGATTGCTATGATATAATAAACCCATATCTTATTTAAGACCAGAGACTTTTCTCATGAGTCTACCTAATAGTTTTCATCTGTCACACTAGACAAATCCTGTCAATCCCAACCTAACAGGATGATGGTGGCAACAAGTCTACCTTATGATGACCAAGAGACCAACCATGGGAGCAGTGGTGAGGATTCATCATACAGCATGTTGCCAGTAGTATGCATCGCTTCACCTTATGAGAGAGACCACTTTGTCATGCAGTTGGATGCCTCTCTGTTCAACACCATTTCCCTCTGCCTGTAGTCCCTCCTCCCTCACTTCCTGTTTTTGCTTCTTCTGATATGAGCTATCTCCTTCTAGGACCTCACTATCCCCAAGGTCCACAACTCTCTGGAGGGCCACATTGTAGGAAGTGCATCAGAACACCTCAATGACCAAGACCCTTGCAGAAGGGTAATGGAAGGCACCACCAGATGTTGGAATTGCATCTTTAGACCTCAGTGGCATGCTCAATTGTAGTCCTGTTGTCCAGGTGGTAGTGGTTCTATGACTTCTGGGCCTGTTTCTCAGGCACTTATAGATGGCTGACTTGCTATCTCTTCAAGCAATACCCCTTTTCACCTAAGATTCATGCATACAGTTAGGGGGTTGGTGTAAAAATCTAAGGCTGTGTGGATTGGTAGAGGCTGAAGGAGATGAGGAAGCTCTAGGAAAATGAACATGGACATGGAAGTAGTTCAGTAACAGACAGGTTGGAAATTGAGAGAATGGAAAGCATTCTTTGTGATGAATCTCACTGAGACACCAATCAGTGCATTGATGGCCATTTGGGTGTAATTGATGCTAACCTTCACCTGATGGTGGCAAAACCCAATGCCAATGCAAGGCCCTATTCCCTGTCAAATGGATGTGCTCTGCAGCTCATACAAAGTGGACACCAGTAACCAGTGAGATGCAGTGGTGTGTAGTTACTTTTGAGATATTGCTAAGATCCACAGCAGGCCCTTGAAACTAGAAAGGAAGAAGCTGAATAGCACTGAGACTCCGATGGTCACAGGTAAGACATGCCAACTAGTGCTGCAAGCTGAAAAATCTTTAGTGATAAGGATGCAGACATCCATGACCGCCTGACTGGAGAGTTGCACTCTGCTCAGACAATGTTTCTCAGTCATCTCCAGGTAGTTCTGTCTTAGGTAGTTGATTTTGTGTTGAAGGTTTAACCTTTGTTATTTCCCTGACCTTCCTTCCTATGCTGTACACTGACCCCCTCCACACCCAACCACCACATCGATCCTGGAATTCTGTCCTTCCGGTGGCGTGTGTTACTCTCATCACCGGCTGGGGGCACAATTGTTTTGGTAACCCCCACCCCCATTGCCAGCTGAAAATGCTCAGTTCTCCTGTGCAGTTTGCCACTTCTGTTCTGGTATATCAGGGAGGTGCCAACCCCATTCAAGGCCTGCATGCTTTAAATGTATCACCCTAACCCCTTCAAACAGCTTTTTAAAGCCTTATTTGTACAGAATTCCTGATTTCTCTTATGCTGTTCCTCCACTCTGCTGGGAATGATGCCTTGAAATTGACATGCTATCTGGTATTTTTGTAACATTCCTATGCCTTTGCCTAGTTTCCTGTCATTCCTAAATATCCCATGCCTTTCAAGATTTGAAACCCGCTCCAGCTTAAAGCACCCAATCTCATTTAATAAATAGATCAGAAGAGGTCAGAATTTGAGGATCGTAGGCTTGCAGATGTTCAGACTCCTACGCTTCAACCTCTGCAACAACCAACTTTTTACATGCTTACTATAAACGTACATACCTCGTATCTCATGGCTGTATGGATCATTGATTTGGAAATGTGGGTCCAATGCTTTTAGAACAACCTACACAAATATTTTAAATAGAATTCCATTAAACTGACAAACTATGCCATTCCTTTAGACAGTAACATTAAATTCTTTATAAAAGATAAATCACCATATATTTGCATCAACTTTTCATGGTCAGGGCTGTGACTCATTGATGGACTGTATGACATTCAAAGAGGACTATTTCATCGATGTGCAGTTCCATGCTAATATACAGTATAGGTAAAATGATCTTTCAAGTGTCACAAATCTGCAGATTATTGAGAGATGCTAATTACTTTGTAAACCTTTGAAGGGACTTATTAAATCACTAATTTGGACTCAAGGTAGATTATAATCTGACCTGGGAAATAGGCTGGGGTTTGCAATCTACAATAGAATGAGGAGAGAAAGAAGGATTTAGAATGTCTATTGCCTTTCTGCCTGCCCCACGATGAATAAAGGGGCAGGGCAAGGAAGGTTGGCCTGGAGACCAATTGACGTTCTTAAGTAGCCAATGAATGGCCACTTAATTGCCTCATCCCATTGCTGGTATGTTACTATTTCCAAGGTGCCTTATGCCACATGGAGAGGCTGCACAGCAAAAGCTGATGTTCTGCTTATAGACTGTGAGAGTTGGTGGGGAACCCATGATACAGCATCCTGTGACTCATGGAAGGCTACACACCCCACCCCCAAAATGGTGCTAGAAAGCACTTCCCTTTTCTCAATAATAACTCAGCACCTCCCTGAGCCCTGCCCAGCTCTCCAAACATCCTGCATTGTAACTGCTCTGGGTTGGCTGCAGTACCATCAGTGGACAGCGATCCCAGTGGGGCTACTTAGATTGAAGAGCTCTCTCCCCTGTGATTGACTGGCAGCTCTTAAAGGCAGGTTCTAGGCTCTTAAAGTGATGGGAGCCTCAACTGCAAGCAGTTAATGATGTGACTGCCAGCACTTGAGATGGGGCTTCCAGAACTGACTGAGGTGGAGCTGCTTCCAGTTTTCTGGCTGGTGACAGGGTGACAGCCACTTAATTTAGTGCTAAGATGGTATCCACCCATAGGTATGCTAATATTGGTATTGAAAATGTAGTATAGAAATTAATTTTGACATCATACCTCTCCACCTGTTGAAGGTTCAAGGTCGGAATACTTTGAGTCACAGATTACATCATCCACTCTCTGTGCAGGTCCAGGGGGAATATTTGGGAAGGCAGATGCACAATCATAGGCAAAATATCGTATCACTCTCCATGTTTGACCATAATCTGAAGATCTCTCGACTAACATTGCAGCTGGGCGGAATGTCTAGGTGAGAAAAGAGCAGGCTGGTCGGAATCGTCTATGGGAGTGGATCTTCAAATTGACTTTTGTACTGCCCACTTAACCTGCATGTTAACCTTAAGAGAATTCTGAACTTGGACTCTTAAGTCCCTTTGGGTTTCAGATTTCCAAAGCCTTCCCCCATTTAGGAAATTGTTTACACCTCTATTCTTCCTACCAAAGTGCATAATGTCATACTTTCCCACATTGTATTCCATCTGCCCTTTCTTTGCCCACTCTCCCAGCCTGTCCAAATCCTTCTGCAGCCTCCCCATCACTTCAACACTACCTGTCCCTCCACCCTTGTGTCATCTGAAAACCTAGCAACAATATCCTCAGTTCCTTTGTCCAGATTGTTATTGTGTAATGTGAATAGTTGTTGTCCCAACATGGACTCCTGCGGAGCTCCACTAGTTACTGGATGCTATCCTGGAACAGACCCTTTATTCCCACTTCCTGTCTTCTGCCACTTAGCCAATCCTCTGTTCATGCCAGTACCTAGCTTCTAACACCATCTTATTTTGCAGCCTGTGAACCTCTGAACTTGGAGCCTTACCCAATATTGTCATTAAATTTGCTGACAACAGTAGAAGTGCTGTTTGGTGAATTGAACTCTAGTTGTTAACAGTTGTCAGTGTGCTAACAGAAGCTGAAATCTCCCTCTCTGATACATCCTTTGATGTGCCAGGGAACCTCAGCTCTAAACATCAAGCCACTGTTTCCTAAGACCATCAATGATCTCTTGTCTTTTGGACATCATTCCTCCACTGCCCACAACTGCCTACAGCCTGTTTGACTTCATTCGCAAGATCCAGAAACAGGATTGCTCTGATGAAGCCATTGTTTTGGTCTATTCTTGCCACGTGGAAATTATTTTTTATCATCGAGACTCTACTTTTTCTTCCTTTGTTCAGTGTCTTCTCAATTGCATCCATGAGCCTCCTAACATCTTCTGCCACTCTAACAGCTCTAGTTCCCATGCCCTAACTTTGTTTTGATTTGAATTGATTTGATTTATTACTGTCACGTGTACTGAGGTTCAGTGCAAAGTGTCGTCTTATGTGCTTTACAAGCAGATTGTATTATACAAGTACCTCAGGGTAACAGAAGAGTGCAGGATAGTGTTACAGCTGCCAAGAAGGTGCAGAGAGAGATTAACATTTGAAAGGTCCATTCAGAAGTCTGATAATAGCAGGGAAGAAGCTGCTCTTGAATCTGTTGTTAGATTTATACAAACGTTTACATCTTCTGCCTGACGGAAGAGGGTTAAAGAGAGTATAACCAGGGTGGAAGGGGTCTTTGATTATGTTGGTTGGTTTCCTGACACAGCAGGAAGTATAGATGGAGTTAATGGATGGGAGGCTGGTTTTTGTGATGGGCTGGGGTGTGTTCACAACTGTATGTAGTTTCTCGCAGACTTGGGAAGAACAGTTGCCATACCATGCTGTGATACATCCAGATAGGATGCTTTCTGTGGTACATCTACAAAAATTTGTAAGAGTCTTTATGGATGTGCTGAACTTCCTTAGCCTCCTGAAGAAGTAGAGGCGTTGCTGTGCTTTCTTGACCATAGTCTCAATGTGGGTGGATCAGAACATTATTGGTGGGCATCTCCCCCAGGAACTTGATGCTCTTCACCATCTCCACCGTGGCAACCATTGATGCAGACAGGGATGTGCCCTCCACTCTGCTTCCTGAAGTCAATGACCAGCTGCTTCATTTTGCTGATGTTGATGGAGAGATTGTTGTCTTTATACCATGCCACTAAGCATCCTAACTCCTTCCTGTACTCTGTCTCGTCGTTGATTGAGATCGGAACTAAAGTGATGGTGTCATCAGCAGATTTATAAATGGAGTTAGTATGGGATTTGGCCACACTGTCGAGTGTGTATAAAGAGTACAGTGCAGAGCTGTGCACACAGCCTTGTGGGGCACTGATGTTGAGGATTATCGTGGAGGAAATATTGTCACCTATCCTTACAGCCTGCTGTCTATGGGTCAGGAATTTGACGATCCAGCTACGGAAGGGGGAGCAGACGTCTAGGTCTTGGAGTTTGGAGATGAGTTTGTTTGGAATTATGGTGTTGAAGGTGGAAATGTAGTCAATAAGTAGGAGCCTGATGTAGGTATCCTTGTTGCCCAGATGTTCCAGGGATGAGTGTAGGGTCAGGGAGATGGTGTCTGCTGTGGACCTGTTGTGCTGGTAGGAGAATTGCAAAGGGTCAAGGCAATTTGGTAGGCTGGAGTTGATGTGAGCCATGACCAATCTCTTGAATCATTTTATAATTATGGATGTTAGAGCCACCGATTAGCAGTTATCTTTGGCACTGGGATGATGTTGGTCTTCTTGAAGCAGGTGGGACTTCAGATGGTAGTAAGGAAATGTTAAAGATGTCAGCAAATACTTCTGCCAGCTGGTCCACACAGGATCTGAGTGCATGGTTAGAGATTCTATCTGGGTCGGTCACTTTTCTATTGACTTGTATGTTCTCTACATTTTCATCCCTGCTGTGACTTTCAGAGGATTTGTCTTCTGCTTTAAATGGAGGGCCAACGGACCTCTATCTACCATTGCCTTCCTTTGCTGCCTGAACCTGTTCTCACACTAAGAAATTTTATTTCACTCCACTCATTGATCTTAAATAAAAAAGAGTTGTGATATGTACCAGCAATGCTCCCAGTGTTGCCTGTCTTTTCATGGAATATATGGAGTATTGTTTGTTCTTGCCTTACTTCCTCTGCTCCTTTTCATACTCATTGCCTGAAGAGAAAATGTCATCAACTTTCATGACAGTTTCCAACCTTCCATCATCTTCACGCGGCCCATTTCCAGCTCTTCACTTGCTTCTTCACATTCTCTGCCTTCATTTTTTGGCCTTAGCCCATTGACTGATGTTCATTATAAATGCACTAACATTTATCTTGACTGTACTCACTCACAATCTGTTTCCTGAGAGGGCTCTATTCCATTTGTCCAGTTTGGCCATTTTTTTTTTTACAACTGTGATGATGATGCCACCATCTTTTTAATATGTCTTCCCTTTTCCTCCAGTGAGGGTTTTCCTTCACTGCAGTTGGCAGGTCGCATAAATGCATGCCTTCTATTTGCCACACTCTTGCTTTCACCCCTCTCTTTTCCTTCCCAGAAACGTGATAGGGATCTCCTTACCCTCACCTTTTATCCAGCAGTCTCCATGATCATTACAACATTCACTGCCATTTCTACCAACTCCAGTGAAATGCTACAACAATACACTCTTCCCCCACCCTCCCCTTTCAGCATTCTGAAGGCATCGTTCCCAAAATGACACCTTGGTCTAATTCTCGTTTACCTCCCAACACTCTCTCCACTTTTTAATGCACTTACCATGTGGGTGAAGTTGTTGCAATGCATATCCTTTTACCTCTTCCCTTCCTGCTAAAGGGTCCCTCCAGGTGAAGCAGTGATTTATTTGTACTTTGTTAAATTTAGTACACTATGTTCACTCATGACAGTACAGTCTCCGCTGTATAATTAAGGATGGTGGTCAGAGCAGGAGGCCTAATCAGAGGGCTTAGAGCAATATCTGACCACCTACTCCAGGATATGCGTGCACTGTTGAGGAACTAGGGGTTTTGGTCCGGATTGGAATATTTGGGCCAATATGACTTGAGGGATTTAATCTCTGTTACGTCTGTGTTTCTGTTGTCAGTGTTATTGATTTGATTACTTTGTATCATTATACTATAGATATCAGTCTTAGATTAGCATCTGAAGAACACAATGCAATACAATGATGCTTAGAGTTTCTTTGCTACCTGTTTCTCACGCTGACCTCAGTAATAAAAGAGGATTGCTAGTGAGGGTTTGGGTGTGAGCACTCTCAACAAAACAAAATCATGAACTTCTTCTTTCACACATGACTTTGCACTAGGTTAGAGACATATTACACTCAGTGCAAAGACCAAGCCATGTTAGATTCGTGACTGGAGGAGGCCACAACCTTTCAGCTGTGATATGCTGGTGAGTGCAATGGCCTCCTCACCTGCATTTTCACTCTCCTGTTGATGAACCCTTGAAACAGCTTTGCTAGTGTGGCATCTATGAAGAATCATTTGCGCCGCTGAGAAACTCAACAAGCACAGTGACAAAATGTCACAAGTGTCCCTCACGGATGCAAGAATTAGCCACCTTGACCATGTCATAAAGATGGATTTCTGCTCAGACATACAGTATATAGCTTAGTTTTATATCATTCGAGGGCTGTTAAAGAGGTTGCAACTGATATTCTTGTCTCGTGATAAATTTTGGAGGTAGGGAGTGTTCGTGCAAAAAGAACCTACAGAGGGAAGACCAGTGTAGATGGAAAAAAAATTCAATTAACATGTTTACCTGCTGTTAGCCATGGCTTCAATGTAAATAAGAGCTGAAATGATAATTTGGAAACATTACCTTGAAGGAAAGGAATAGGTGACTGAATTGAAAAAGGATTTCCAGATCCAGCTGAATGCTGACATGGTGCACACCTACAGCGACAAAGAAGTTCATTGTAATTCAGAAAACATGACAGGTTACAGATTTCCGATCTATATAGACAAGATTAATAAAGAAGGGAATTACTGTCGGCTACAATTTTGGACAAACACCTAACATGTTTGTATGGCATTTGTCTGCCTGTTATTTTAACAGAAGATTAACCTTTATACTTTGACATTTTCTCAGTATTTCCCCTCCCCTCTCTGATTTAACCAGGCACTTTTCTTTGATTCCTTTCCAGTTCACCCTGTTGATCTAGAGGCAACCCTCCCTTTTGTCCCCTCACCTCAATCGTAACAGTACATTTATTGATTGTATTTTCCCCCTCAGACTTCATGACGGTTCCCTTCTCTCGTTTCTCTTTCTCTCCATCCTAGTACATAATGACACCGTTCTTCCAAGATCTCCCTTTACCCTTATTTGAAATAGATGATCTCAGAGATTGAAACCCTGGTTCAAACTGTGAATTGGATTTCCTAAATCTGCAAGAACATGATGTATTCAGGAATTTCCATCCACAGCAATGGCCAGCTTGTAAGTTGTATGATTTACTTTGTCCTTCATCAATATACCGTACATAGTGATTAGGTCTGTAAAGTTGACTATCTGTATTAAACATCCATATGTGATGTTAGCATGTTATAGTAGGGCCTCCAATTCAACTATGAAACAACTATGAAATCAGTTCCAATTCGAAACTAAACTGGAAGCTTCTGACACGATTAGGCTAGCTTTAATTATTTACTCTTGAGATGAGGGTAGGGTTGCCAACACAGACTGAAGATATTCCAGGACGATCAGTGAAAGTGATGTCATGGATAGCTGGGGCCGTAGCAGGTCCACAGTTTCAAATATAAAGCAGCAGAGACCAGTATGAGGAGCAATTGTAGAAAAGCAATAACTCAACCAGGTGGAATTTACTTCATTCTAACCTCCCACTTGCGTACAGCTGCTTCTAGATCCTCAGTCATGACCTGGAGTGCCCCAAATATCTCCCTGCCTAAGGAGGTTAATGCGGGAACTGCACATTATTCTAAGCAGCAGTTCTGATCTAACCTGAATGTAGCCTAAAGTAGGATCCCATCTATTCCTGTAAACTCCTAACTCCAGGCTTGGCTGTCCTCAGATCATTTAAAAGTCTAAGGCTGGAACTGCTTTGACTAATCAGAACTACAGCACGACAGTGTTTGTCTTTCCATATGAATGTGAAGCAGCCACATTCAATCAGCAGTGTCAAGAGAGTCTGATAATTCCACTGCATTGGGCTTTGACTGGTGACACAGATTCTGCACATGAAGTGACAACTAAAGATGGTTCAGACTAAGCAAAAAAAAGAGGAAAATTTCTTCCTGCGTGCCTGCTGCCTTTGCTACTAATGTTGGAGTTTAAAATCTCTCGGAAAACTTTCTTTGGCCACCAGGAGTTTGATGCCAATTCCATTCGACTCCTGGCCATTCTGGGAGGGTTGGCTACACAATATGTGGGTGTCACTGACCAGTTTGAGATGGCTGTGTGAAATGGTCCTTGGAACATTGTAGTACTAATCTTTGGAGTGATTTGATTCATCCGAGTGGTTTCCTACACCACTTCAGGCAGGTAAAAGTCAAAAATATTTGTGTGATCTGGAATCAACGTAAGCCATAGACATTATTTGATTTATTTGAGGTCCTATGGGTGAAATCTGCCAGCATTATTAGTTTTATTATAAACTAAATTGAAATTCTCAAACTTTTGCATCAGGGCTTGAACCTACAATTTATGGATTGCCTGTCTCAGTTAATGTAACCACTACATTATCTTAGAGATAGTAGGAACTGCAGATGCTGGAAAATCTGAGATAACAAGGTGTAGAGCTGGATGA